ACTTATTTTTCATTCTTGTCTTGAAACAAAATTGTACAAATAAAATTTCTTTCAAAATTTTTAATCTTGTTTATATATTTTACAACTTCATTTAATGTAAACATTTTACGATTACATTGTCAAGTAATTTAAGTTAGAAATTGTTTTTTTAATTCAATCATAACAACTTTAAAACCTAATCAGCATGTAGAGAAGTTTATTATAGCAAATGACAAATAAATAAAAACTCTAAAATACATCACAAAGATCCAAAAGCACGCAAGCTTGAAATCTCAAATTGTTAACTTTTCTCCTGAATTTGCAAAATATTTGATTGATTACTATGTCTAAAGCAATAACGCCATCAATAAACTAGCCAACCACTTCTTTTATTGAAAGAGCTCTTGTTTAAACTTCACGATACTGATGCTGTTATTTTTGTTTTCAATTGAAATTCTGACTGTTTACCTTACGGCACCTTTAATTTTGATCTATACAGAAATTAAACACAAACTATACGAAGTGAAAATAATTGTTTTGTTTTAGAATAAACATTTTCCAAAATTGTACATAGCATTTTCAATACCCTTAAAAGTCTGTTAAAGAGTCTTATATACTTTCCATACCTACGTTTATTATCGTAGTTGAAAATTCACGAAACACTAACCCTCCGCATCATATCGCTATTTGGATACAAAATAAAACGGTATCTCTATTCAATTTCGTTAAAATTCCTTTGAAAAGACGTGGAGTTAAAAAGAAAATTTATTAATCGTACACCAACAGAGTTAGCAAAATAAAAAGGATTGATTAATTAAGTGCTGAGTTAGCTGTTTCTTCTTTTATTTTATATTAACTTTATTCAAATCTAAATAAACAGAATATTCTCAAAATATCTTAATCACTCAAATTACGGGCCAAAAAGAAATAATTAACATATATTCCCATATCTAAAAAAGCTTTGTTTGCGCTCAATATTTTACTGTGTGACCCTGTTTAATTAAGTCACATATTAGCTAGGGTTTGCTTTTAATATTTTCCTCTTTTCGGGAAAGAACTAGCTCACCATACGAGCGTTTATATCACTAACACTGCCATTTTCTAGCTCCTCCGTCATTACGTGTCTCCAGCGATCTATTTTTGGCTTAACTTAATCCTACTAATACGTTAGTTTTATAATACTCCCATTGCGACATTTCCATTAGCTGATCCTTTATGAACTATGTACAAGGAGCGTTCCAGTAGTCTCTATGTAAGGATTCACTTTATATTTCTTATGTATGTAATGGATGAAATTCATAGAAAGAAGAATATACCTAAGTTAAAAATTATTATAAGTGTTAAGTAAAGTTTTAAAGTAAATTGATACACATAATTCAACATAATATATGTAAATGATAAGCAATTTTTGAGAATTTTTAAGTTATTTCATGATTCTTTTTCTCACAGTTTGTTGTAAATGGCAACACTTTAAGGACTAAATTTATCATTTGTTATCTTTGTTTATTTTCATATCAAATTTATAGCATCTATTTTGAACTATAAACATGTTATACCATAATTATTATATACATTAACTGCTATACCCAATAAAATCATGAACTTGTTATTGGGTAGTAATATGGTTATTATAGTAACGTAGCGAGACGCTTGAAACTCCATAATCTACAAATCAGGTTCAATTTACGAGTGAAGCATAAAGTTGGATTTAAATGAAATTAATATTTTTCGGATATACTACATATGTACGCTACTTTATTTTTTGTAAAAAACTTTGTACTCCCGACGTTTCAGCTACTTGTCAGCAACCGTGATCACGGGCAGATGAGATGTGAATGTCTGTCAGTTGGTTTTGTTATTTATGACCTACCGCCATAGATTTCTTAATTTTGGCAGAATGCGCTTATTGTGTCCCGAGGTCTTGCGATGTGGTCACGGACATAGGATTTTATATTATAATAAACTTGAATATTTGAAGATAAATTCCGAAGTGCCTGCCTAACCGTGCATTACTTGCATTGATATAAGCACTTTGACTAAGCAGGCCTTTATGTGCGCAAACACGTCTTATTTATTAAATACCCACCCTAGCTTCTCAGGGGTACTTTATAATAATTATAAAATACTCTATGTTTCCTATAATACGTTGAAAACTTTCTTTTGAGTTAAATTAAGACAAATAAAAATTTCATCATCTTTCTTCGGTAAACATAAAATAAGCCAGAACTTAAAAATACGGTATATTTTTATGTCAATAAAAGTTTTAATGTAATAAAATTACAAAAATATTATATACAGCTTTTTAGACGTGATCATGTGAAAAAGTATGCTATTGTGTGGATTTAATTATGAGAATTTTTAAACTTATGATGACATTCAAATAGTAGGTACGTCCGAATTAAATAATTCAAAAAGTAGTTAATAGATACTGCTGGAAGCTGGAACACGAAGTACTTTATTTTAATAAGATTTTATACCTTAATTATATAAATAGCTTTCTTATAAAAGCTTCATTACACTGGGTACACTAGGTATACCAGGTATATCATTAAAAACAAGATAACTTTTGATCCTATCATAAACTCTATGAGAAGTACACAAAAAATATAACAGAAAAAAATAATTAAAAAACGATTGGACTTTCATAACATATAAAAGAAGATAAAAAATGAAAAAGAAATTTCGTCGAGGTACTTTCTTACCTTAATATTGGTTCATTTCTCAATCAAACTTTCACAAACAAAGAAGCTTGTACAAAATCAAAGTAAAAAGATATGCTCTTAATAGTGCGATCCAAATTTATAATGAATCGAAATCATTTTAAAACCATTCATTATACCTTCAATAACGTAAAGCACTCACGTGAACACAGAAAGTATAACTGGGATTCAATTAAGATATAGGTATGGTGTAAAGAGAAGCTAGAATGCCACTTGGCCTGATTACATTAGAACATTTCATCCTACATACATATAAAACAAAACATTCGAACATTCCTATAAAACACAAGCTGGACATATTTACATCAAGCATTATTAGTAGTGTTTTAACTAGTAGATGAACTATAATAAGTCAATAAAAGAGTAATTACTGCCTGTTCCGTTTACTAATTATATTACCATTACCAAAGGCTTATAAATAAATTGAATTGAATTCCTAATGAAACGTTCTTATAATACATTATTTATATATTCATCATTCACACTAAATATGAACCGAATAAATATAAATTCATTTCAACACTCATAACTATTACAAATAAAGAAATATTGGACATACATATGTGCAAATATTATATTTCATATAATATCATCCACAATTGCATTGTTTTCTAAGGAACAATAAGTAAGAAGAGAGAAATTGTATTTTACACAAAAACTGCTAATCTTATGATAATTTGCTCGTACAAAAATAAACTATTAGTGTACGTCTAAAACTAGATTCATATCCATATATATATTTCATACGGTTAACAGCTGTGACGTACTTTGAATATTAAATCGTGAAAATTACAATTAAACTATACACAGCTTATATAAGTATGGGTTCTTCAGTAGGCTAAAGTATTATTTAGAAAATATATATCGTTAATATAAAATTAATTTAAATCAGCTTTACTGCCGAATAGTCTTAATTAAAATCGGCCGACCGTATTTGCGAGCTCGACGTTTTGACACACAATGAACGTTGAAATTATATAAATAGAGCCTCGACTTTGTTGAACATACGTACTTTACAGGCAGCTTAAAATGAACTGTTTATAAAACCATTCCGTAAACTGAAATAAGTGTATAACTAGATTATTAAAATCATAATCGTTCTCAACTTTTCAACAGAAAATCAGGTTCTTTTGCAATAACAAGTCAGAGATTGAAAGAAATGTCTAGTTAATTCCGAAGTTCTCGATATAAAATGGGTAACAAACGTTTAATTAGTAAGCATTTGAACAAATACATACGTATAACGAGATACATCAGGACCTTAGTATTCGTTAGGAATATGAATGGTCAATATTTATATACAGGGTGACTGGTGAATTACTATCGATATTTGAGGACGTGATATTTGACGATCATATATGACAAAATAAAAATTAATATAACATAAATATTAATAAACTTCTAAGTAAAGTTAACCAAAAGTTATGTAATTAATTACGCATCGTGTGAATACCCTACAGATTAGGTATACACACACACTCACACAGACGCGGCGGCGGCGTAGTGTTGTATCAGCACGCCGCCGTACGCGTTCACACTTGGAACACTTGGAACGTGTACACACTTTATTTATTTATACGGAAATTTGGTCAAAAATTAAGTACCTATTTTTTTTACATAATTCGAATGAGAATCATGTACCGAGTATGCTCCTTGAATATTGATAGTAATTCACCAGTCACCCTGTATATTAATTACTATTGTTGTTGGTAGCCTTTAAACATTTTGCTAAATGTCATATAATGATCGCCTACAAAGGTTTACAACTAAGAAATGTCTGTTGCAGATCATACGCCCTAGGGGAGGTAAAGAATATCTCTACTTGAATTTGGCATAGAATGGGGTGAACAGTTGGATAATAATGATATCAATTCCCTCATGATATGAATTCACCCATCTAATAATTGTTGTGAAGTATGATGTACACATGTACGAGTGTGATGTACACATCTAATAAGTGTTGAAGTTTGAAGCTATGATTTGAAAACCACGATGTTAAAATATTTATTTCAATTTAAGGTTCACACGCCTGTTTTAAATAAGCTAAAAAGTGTATAGGCAACGACTAGAGTCAAGACCCATTGCATCGGACCATCTCTAGGACCAATTTGAGATCTCCGCACCGGAGCAGTTCTAGCTTGGCCACCGCAAGGGAGAGGAGTTATTTTTGTTGATCAGTAAGTATTCTCGGGAAATGGGTATTAAGGTGGGCACTGTCCAGTCTGGGATTTTCCAGATCTGCTAAAGAGAAAAACGGCTTTATATGCGCTAAACCCTCTAGTTCGTCTGCCATACGTCTGGATGCGAAGTGGTGGAGTCAGTGCCACGTCTCGCCAGTGTATACTGAATGCCGTAATGAGCAACCTCTCAGTTACAAGCTTGATAAGAATGATAGTCGGCAGCCAGAGGTGTTGTGTAGAAGTGGCATCCTTTTGCGAGCTGGTGATTTCCTCAAAGGAAGCCGCCAGTCGGGATAAGAAGTCAGTTTTGTCAGCTGACCCGGTCCTTAGGAAGAAGTTGGAAGAAAAACGCGGAAGTAAACTCGAACCTCTTTTACTAGCTACAGGGCTGAGTGGTCATCAGCCCCTCCTCCACTAAGACCATTGTTGTGAGGGCATTATTTTTTTATTGAGTGCCTTTTTAGGGGGTAGGGACAATTTCACCTGACTTTTCCGCTAAATGCGAAGACGATCACTGATGTCCCAAAATCGTGATGTGATAGTTATTTTATTAATTGGTTTCTATCTATGGTAGAGGGTAAATCAGTAGACTAGCAAGGTCAATGACAATCTAGGTAATCGTACCTGGCTAGGTGGTATGCACTAATATATTTTTTCCAAAATTATATTCAGTATACTTTCACTATAAAATACTAAAAAAAGGGATATTTCTGTAATATTTTAAGGCGACTTTTACTGTGGTCAGATAAATAAATTAGAGATAATATGTATTGAGTGCATGTAAAACAATGGAAATGTTGAACTATGTATCGTAACCACATGAGGATAAATATTCAACCTTTTCCATTAGTGTATACATTGAAGTATTATTATAAAATAAAATAAAAATTAACCAAGGCATAAAACAGAACGGCCTGTTGCCGGGACAGAATTGACAAACTGTTTGTTTGTATGAAACCTTCACATGTTCGAACTGTTTATTTCCCTCGGAAGTAAACATGTTGCCCCATGGAATAATGAAATTGAAATATATAACTGGGTACAAGAAAAATATTTGTGTCGGATGTTTTTTGATTTTCTCATTATAATACTTTTTATTTGGAATGCTAAATTATATACTTGTCCATATTGAAGAATAGCAAAATATTGCATTTTGTCATCAACTCTTACAGTGTAGAAATTAAAATTATGGGGAATATTAAAATTGTGAGAGAGATTGTGAAATAAATAGTAGTTGTTTATTTTCCAAATGCACTATAATTTCCATCTCAAATATTCAATAAGCTATGTATATTTAAGTCTAAGAGTTAAAAATGTCTAAGACAAACGTATTTTAATTGATCGAATATTACAACAAATAACAGATTTTAGTAAAAAAATATTATCAAATAAATAAGTCATACTTTTATAACAATAGTATGTATTAATAAATATATCTTTATAAAAATATATCCTTATTGATAGAAGCTGGTACAACAGGAACTTAAACGTTTTAATGTTTTAACAGCTTTGGGAACGTTTCAGCTTTGTAAATTGAATATTGTTGTTTTTAAGGTTTTCCTAGATCGTAAAAGTTTTTATTGCTTAACTTCCTGAAACTTAATACTATGTGAACCATTAAATGTTTACTTATTAACATGTATGTTTGATATTAACTGGTACAACTTCCTACCAGTTGTAGCATACTTCTCGTATAAAAGTACTTATATGCACTATAGTGTTTTATTGTTAATAACTTGTAAGTATGAAATATACAAAAATAATTTTGGTTCTATTAGAAGTGTTGCAATTATTTGACTAAAAATAAAGCGAAATAAATAAAGAATGAAAGAAAAATCCACTATACAAACAAAATGAATCAGTTAAATATTTTCTTATACATATATACGTATGTGAATGGTGAATGTACAACTCATACAAGTATGTTTAACAAAGCACATAATATGTTTTAAAAATACCTGTTTTAATTAAGGACTTTAACGAATTCTCTTTTAATTAATGCTATGTTATTCGGATTATGATGAAATAACAAAATGTTGTAATGTATTTATTATCAATTTTTTTAATACTACTTTTTTCGTTATGGGGGGATATAAAGCCTGTAAATGATTTCTTACCTGAGATTATTAACACTAAGCCAATCCTAAGTAAAGAATATGTAGATGCTGCAGTTACGATATTATAAATCCTAAAATAACTTCTTGAACTATATATATATATATATATATATATATATATATATATATGTATATATATATATATATATATACATATATCTAATAAAGCCGTATTATTACTTACTTGTTCATCTTCCACTGCCCGAGAAGTGATTTTGTTTTACATTTTAATGAAAATTAATGAAAATTATGACCGATAACAAGAAAAAACTGCAATATATTTGTGATCAACACTTATTTGTTTATCCATCGCGAAATAAACATTCAATCGAATTGCGAAAAATTTATGTCTTTCATTTTACCTGATATTCGTGTTCTAATTATTTTAAAATAAACAAACACAAAAAATTATCAAACACTCAGAACAATATTTATATATACGGAACAATTCATCGTCGTGCGCTCGAACGTATAACACGTGCCGGTGTAATAAAAAGTGATTTGTGAATACCCCCAGAATGGCTAAATGTGACAAGTGCAATAAATATATCACCAAAAATAAACCTGGTTTAGAATGTAACCGATGTGAGAAGGTAGTGCATTTGAACACCATATGTTCAGAGCTTTCGAATAAACAGCTGTCCGCAGTACGTGCAGTGGAAAATCTAGAATGGACATGTCGAGAGTGTCAAGAAAATTCTCCTAAACGTCACTCAATTGTTATTCCTGACGATGATGAAGAGGAGGAAGACAAGCGTAATGAGGCTCCGGATCTAAAAATTGACATGCAGCAACTGTTGGCAGACATAACAAGGCAAATGGAGAAAACCATTAAACGCGAAATGAAAGAACTCAGTCAATCCTTGCAATTTCATAGTGAGAAAATGGATGAAGTCATTACAATGTTAGAAGTTTGCGAAGAAACCATAAAAGATTTAAAGAAAAAGAACATCGAACTCATAAACAAAAATAATAATCTAGAGACGAGGGTAGGTGCACTGGAACAGCGTCTACAAGAAAAAGAGCAGCGGGAGTTATCTAACTGCGTTGAAATTTGTAATGTTCCTCAAAGAGTTGATGAAAATACTTATCTGCTAGCTAAACAGGTGGCAAAAAAACTTAATCAACAAGCTGAAGATATTAAAGAAGCAATTCGTCTACCAGCTAAGAAAGAAAATCCGAGCCCTATCCTGATCAAACTAAAAAATGAACAACTTCAAAACTCATGGCTAACATCTGCAAAATCAAGTTATCATAAAATTAAAGCGGTCGATATTGTTCCCGAAACTACTGACAAAATTGAAGGTGAAAAATCAATATATCTCAGAGAAACCCTAACACCGTATAATAGACATTTACTATGGTTTGCCAAAAAAGAACTAAGTACCACCTACAAATTCATCTGGATCAAAAAAGGAATTTTACGTGCACGCAAAGAAGGTGATAAAGAAAAAGCAATAATTATTCGATCAAAAGAAGATGTTAATAAGCTAAAATAATTCTTAATTATACATACGTAGGTACATAGGTTATACTTATTGTTCTATAGATAAAAATTCTTCTAAAGATAGATAACATCAGAGATAATATTTTAGAATTATCAGATTGTACTAACTTACAAATATTTATAGACAGTATACCTACTAACATAAATCTATTATGCATTCATATAAACATTAGGTCAATAATCAAAAATTTCTCAATACTGGAATACTGTATTCAGCAAAGTTCAAAAATTCCCGATGATGTAATTATAACCACTGACGCTAATATACATATCAGAATCGCTAAGTTATTTGTACAACCTGCAGGGATATAATATGCACACACAGTTGCGTACGGGACGCAAAGGTGAAGGCATTATAATGTACGTACGAAAAATTAATAAATTTACCACTAAATATTACCAACCACAACATTTCGAGCTTCTTTTTGGTTAAATTAACACTTCATGGGGATATAAGGCAACTTTGTGTGCTATGTATAGACCACCTAGTAATAGAAAGCACTTATTTGTAAATGAACTAAACATATTTCTTAGTAAAGTAGAACAGAGTCAGGATATATGTATATGTATAAGGAGATATAAACTTTGACTTAAAATATAACTGTCCTATAAAACATAAATATAGCACTGTTATGTATAATCACGGGCTTGTGTGTGGGATCTAGGAATATACCCGTGTAGAAAAGTGCAGTAAACAAATTAGTAAGACATGTATTGATCACATTTACGCGAGATCCTAGAATATTTTGTTACAACATTTTTGAACAATCTTACTAATGATTTTAAATATGAAATAAGTATAAGTAATAATACTTTTTTTTTAATATTAATAATAATACTTAATATTACTAATTAAATAATATCTCATAAAGGGAAACGGATCACCTGTATTTGCACTATCTACAAGTTATTTGTTTCAAATGCATTATCGCAAAACCGGCTTTAATGACCGACCGGCCGAGTAGTGCATCGTAAGTACCTATTGTATTATTAACATAATTTAAAAATCTTTTAACGTATACCCTCACATATGAGTTATAATTAAACTAACATCAGTTATTCAAAATCTTATGTAGTTAATAATGTAATAGGTAGTATATTTATGTATTAAAAGTTTCGAGTGTACTCGATGAATGCCGGTGTACGGATAAACCCGACAGGGATTTTGTAACACCGTAAAAGAAATTTGTAATATGTTATATAAATAAAGAATAATAAATAAATAAATAATTGAATTAAAAAATTGTTTTTTATATATGAGAACAATGGCGGAAGTCATAAAATAATGATTTTCATGTGCTATTTATAAACATAAATTTATAAACAATAATTCTATATTTATCGAACCAGTTTTCAAAATATTATCAGAGTCGTACTTGATACTCATATACTTGAAATCGTCGACTTCACGATACTGCCAGATACGTATTTCATAAAATTGAGGAATCTTTGGATTTAAGTCATAAATTTACTTCACAATGCTCTCTCTGCCCATGTAAATCTCTTCATCTCAAATCTTAGACAAATTTTCTATAGGTGTGATCAATTTAAATCTTTTAAAGAGAGCAATAGAAGCAGCGGAAAGTGCCATTTTTATTTTGTAAACATCATTTTATACAAAACGGTGGTTCTCAATATGTATAGTGCATATGATTTAATTAAATAACCTTGGTAATATCCAAAACAGAGAAAACCAGTCGTTATTAACTTCCAAATATTTGTTATTGTCTTTAACATCTCCATGTAAAAGGTTTTATTATGTTTACCCTCCTTCGAGTTTGATGGTGTGTAAAT